AATCCTTCCTTGATCGTAACCGACTCCCGAACCCGACACATTTCTGGTAAAAACGCAGATCATGTAAGATGGTGTCCGACCCACCTAAATTCGTTTTAAAATGGTCAGTGACGACTCAATCCACATTTTTTAAGTCGAAACCCAATTCCGAGACTGTAACACCCCCAACCCGTATACCAACCCGGATACGAGTCAGAGATATTACATTGACTTTTAAAACACAACACATTACAAATAATAGTAAAATACTTGAACTTATATTACGAAAATACAATAATATACATATGGTACTATAAGTTTACCAAAATATTCAGAGCATACACAACTTAACTTTTAAATTACATGCCAACATCCATTTTCTTAACAAAATGACCTACTGATTAAGTTGCTTCTGATCTGATAGTTGCAGGAGTAATGTTGTCCAGTGCTTAACTCGATCGTCTACTTTATCGGATCCTACGTGTGAAACACTCACACGCTAAGTCATCGACTTAGTGAGGCAATAATATAATAATAATATCAATAAACATAAAGTAATTGCCAAAATGAGATGGGTTGCAATAATAAGATGTATGTAAACAATGCAATAACCAAAACCATGTTTCTTACACATATACTTATCAAATTCACATTCATAAGTTCGCCTTAGTAAGTTCATTAGCACATGGTACCATACAGAGAACCTAAGGTATGTGAGTATTGTGAGGTTGTGCACTATGCTGTCACCATAGCTCAAATAATTGCACCTTAGTGCCACGTAGAATTGCACCGGAGTGCCGCGTAGAATTGCACCGTAGTGGCATATAATAATGTCCATAAGGACCACATATCATTCCTTAAAATCATATACATATACCAAGGATCAAGTATGTGTCTCACCAGACCTCACACATGTTCCAAAGAATACATATATGTCCCGAAGGACCACATAGACCCTCTACCCTTGGCATGCCAACTATACCTATAGTTCTCATTTACATAACATGGGCTTTCACAATTTATCTAACTCATATCACGTAGACATATTATTTCCATACCTTTATCATATAACTCATATAACTTTTCTTTCATATTCATGTCCCATAATGCATATGGTATGGATTCATGTCATATATCATCATATGAACTACGATCATGTATCAAAATATTGAATCTAGACTTATCACAAGTCTAGAACTGAATAAAATACATATTCATGCTATGCATATGCACTCACCTAGATTTCTTTGTCTTTCCCTCGATTGATCCTACTTGTCGATGGTTCCGGAACTCGATTAGGCTCAATATCTACATAAGCATAATTTTCAAGATGATTATCAGATGCCTAAGTCTTGAAATTAATCTTTAATAGCCTACCAATTTAAGGGATTAATAGTTTAGTCTTTCTTCTTTCTTCTTCTTTTTTTTATATGGGGGAATCGGTTCCCCCCCTGGGGGTATCGATTCCCCTCTAGCATTCTGGAAATTCATATTCATTGAGGGGGTATCGACTCCCCTTGAATGGGTACCGATTCCCCTAGCCTAGAAATCCTATTTTGCTCGAAAATTATCTCATTTCAGCTCAAACCTTCATATTTTACTCCCTTTAATACTCTTAACTTTCATACACTTACTTAAACTAATTATTATCCATTCAATACCTCTAAAACTAAAAAAAACTAATCCTCCATATAGAATTTAAGAATCTTACTCAAATTCCAACTTGTTCTAATTTTAATTCTATCACCTCATACTTCTTAATTAGCTTGATGACAAGTCAAATCCAGCTTCTAATTCTTATTATGACCTTTAATCTAAGATTTCATTCAATGGCTCCCAACCTTTAATCTCCCTTAACTTACAATTCTTTGAGTTCTAGGATCCTTGTTTCTCTCCATCATATTTCCTAAATCTTCATTAACCAAACCCATGCTTAACTCATAAGAATTAATCCAAAAGAAGACAACTCACCTTTGCTTGCAAGCTTCACGGTTGGAGAAGAAGAAGAAGAAGAGAAATGTTTGGAACCTTGTTTATCTCAAATGCTTTCCACGTGATTTATAAAATCACCTTAAGGAATATTAATTATTACTCTTACTAAAATACTCTTTTGCCCTCTTAATTTTCCTTCTTTATAATTCAATCCTACACCAAATAACTCAAATAGGTCATTGAACTCTTCCATCATTTTACTTAAATCACTAAATGTTGAAACTTTACAAATTAATCACTAACCCGGCATGGAGGATGTTACAGAGACCCAACCGAAAGACGGTTACGACAGACTTAAATTGAATAATTATAGAAGGAGATTCTAAAACAACATTGAACAATCTAGCCTTCTCGAAACCAGACCAGTCGGTGATAAGTGCCCAGCACAACAACACGCAAATAAACCTCCAAACCAGTGAGTTCAGTTTCATTCCACGAGAGGGCAACAAAGTAGCACGTATGTTGGCTACGGAATCAAGGGGAGAAACAGACGACTTATTTTGTTGGCAATACGAAGAATTTTACATTAGGTATGAATTATATGTCGTGGTCCGATTCGGTTTGTATGTATTTTTTTAGACAAAATCATTTTGGTAAAATATTTATCACAATTTATATTTTACCATTTATAGTTATTACAAAATATTTAATATAGTTTATGGTTATTAGAATAATGTCTATGACAATTAATTGTTTTGTAACTGTTATTGGATATTTTACCATTTTACTCCTATGTTGAGGTTATAAATAGATGTTCATTTTTCCATATCATATGGTACTATAAGAGAAATTTCTCTAATCCCATAAGTAAATGACATTTGCTTTAAGACAATCTTTGAAACTTTTTCTTTAAGTGTTTTTTTTAGTCAAGAGAAGTGCAATATCATCAAAGTTCACTCCATCTTTCGGGTATACGAAATTTGAAAAGCCTTGCTAACCTCGGGGAGGGGGCATTCGTCTATCTTAGTAATTACACACATCGGGGCGGATTCACTTATAAGGCAATGGTTAATACCATGACACAATTATCGTTTTGATTGGTTATTTTATTTAATATTTTACAGTAAGTGCTAACGTCTCGTTTTTCAATAGTATATTTTCCAACATATTCTGAGTTTAAGAGATCCCATAACGACTAACAAGAATTTTAAGATTGTCTATCTCTTTTTTTTTTCATTCGTGATTGATAGACGACAATACCAATCTTTGTACTAATTATCATCGTCGATATTTCTAGTTTTTCCTTTAATCTCCTGTATCACATCTTTATTTTTTTTCTTTGTTTTTTAATTTTTAATAACTCTACTTTTATGTCACGTTTTTTCTGCACTTATGGCACATTTTTAATTGTTTGGACGTTGTTTTAGTTTATATTTTTTCTCTTAGGGTTGGATTTGACATCGTTTCGATTGATCAAGATGACACTTATTTGTTATCATATTGATATTCCATGCTTTGGATACTCGAATTGGACTCGGATACGTTATTTGCATTCGTTAATAGTTTATTCACTTCGCTAGATTTTGATTTGTGGTTTGTCGATGGCATTTCATTAGTTTTGTCTCATTTTGCGATTTGCTTGTTAATACATTAAGATATGTTCGATTTATCTTTTGGTCGAGGTTTTTGGTTAGATTTTTAAGCTTTTCTTTGTATGGTCCTTGTATGATCTTAAGCAAGTAGTTTTTGTGTTAATGGTTATGTCATAGTTATGTGATTAATTATGTTTATGAACGTAAACATTTGTTGTAATTTTGAATATTTTATCTTTATAATAGAACTAGCTGCTTATATTAAAAAAGAGTCAATTGCATTATATCTCCCCAAATTATAACACTCATTGTAAATTGGTCCTTAAACTTTTGAATATTCTAATTTCATCGTCAAATCATGACTCTCATTCTAAATTAGTCCTTAAACTTTTGTAAATTATAATTTCATCCCTAAACTATGACCATCTTTCTAAATTGGTCCTCAAACTTTTGAATATTATAATTTCATCGTCAAACCATGACTCTCATTCTAAATTAATCCTTAAACTTTTGCAAATTATAATTTCATCCCTAAACTATGGCCATCTTTATAAATTGGTCCTCAAACTTTTGAATATTCCAATTTCATCCAAATATGTAATTAGTTTCAACCACAATTTAACATATTTTTTTCAATCATACAATAATATAACTTGGCTCAACGGTTTTATTAACAACGGATGCGATTAGCATATATGCATAGTTTGGTATGAAATTGGAATGTTCAAAAAGTTTGGGGACCAATTTAGAATGAATGTCATATTTTGGGGATGAAATTGAAATATTTAAAAGTTTGAGAACTAATTTAGAATGATATTCATAATTTAGGGATAAACTTAATTTTTTTTAAAAAAATTTAGGAACCAATTTAAAATTAATGTTATACTTTGAAAACGTATGATGCAATTAATTTTATTTTTAATACACACATAGGTGTGTGAACGGTATTTATTATTAAAATGGAACATTTGACTTTTTAAATACTTTATTTTCTTTAAATATAATTAGTTTTATTCCATAAAAATAAAATGAATTTAATTTATTGAGATGGTTATATTATAAAAAATAATTTAACTATTTAAAATCAAGAAATTAATTGTAACACCATAAATCTAATAAGAAACTTTTAACGAGATTACTAAGTATGATATTCGATCATAGGAGTAACCCAATTTTTTAAACAATGCAATAATTATACAAAATCTGAAGCTTTTGAATTTACAAAAATAATGTGCATCTTCTTGTTGGTTTGCAGCGTATGCAAGAGCTGTTGATACACTCTCTTTGAACTTGCATGCACAATATATTTTCATTTGATTGAGCTTTTGTTTATGGTACCTCTACGTTTTCGACTCGAATTTTAAAACAAATTACATGGAATTCTTTCTTATACAATATGCAATTTGATGCCATGAAAGCATAAAATGTGGGGCATAATGTGTGGGGGTGCTGATGACACAAAAATGTGTGGATGTACCTGTTTATATGCCTAGAGATTTGTTTTTGATATGACAGATGATTTTACGTGCTTACTTTTTTAGACTTGAAATTGAATTCTATGGCAATTAGGTAACCTTATTGGACTAGAATCCCCTTGCTTTTTAGTGCAAAAGGGCAAGGGCGGCCTCTTGAACAAAAGGCTTTGTTGCATTGACAAAATGTTCGGCTTCCCTCTCCACCTGCTCCCAACACCGCCCACCGTCTTTACCTTCATTCATCTTCTTCACGAATGCAACGAATCTTCTCCAATTGTCCGGTTGAAAGAGTGACGGATTCATCCTCAAGTATGTAAATGCACACATCTCCCTATCATGCGAGCATCCGTCGATGTTCAACGACGATGCTTGTAAGATTTGCTCGTGAGCTGATTCGTCGTGCCGGGGCAATGCATTCTCCCCGGCAAGTTGAACTTGTGCTTCTTTGGTAGCTAAAGTAACTTGTCGGACTAGCTTCTCCGGTGCACATAAGGCATCTTGTGGCTGTTCATGATCTCGCATCTCTATGCAAGTGAAATTGAAAACGGCACCGTATCGAGCGAGCATTTGCGCGATCGGGAGATAGCCGTCTCGGAACCTTGTGTTGTAGTACCCTGCCGTGAGTTCGGGAGCGTGTGATCGAGTTCCGTAGTGCCAATGAATACCGGCAACTTTCACGGAGATTTTAACACCTGTGTGTTTGAAAACACAACACGCAGGTGACAGGATTCGCTCGCCGTGTTCGATTAGCATCCGAGAGTACCATGAAAGGAAGAATTCACCGAACTGGCTGTTCCAACCTCCACCATCTTTCTTGAAAAACGGCGTAGCTTCAGGCCAACTGTTGTAGTAACCGGCATCGGTGGGGCCTGTTCCACCCCATTCCGGCTTACCCGCGGCTTCAGCTAGTGCTTTCAGGCTGGTAAGCATATACTGCAACATACAACATCCAACATTAGTTGAGAAACAATTCAGACTTTGAATTCGAATAACATTGTGAATTACTTTATCATAACATTGGAAGGCACCAATTCCGGGAAATTTCCATGTCCCGTTCTCCTCAGGGTATGAAGGATACCGAAGCTCACCGGCCGGACCCATTCCGACTTGGATTTCCTGCAATGAAAAACTTCGATGATTGTTTGTCTCCTGATTTGTTCCATGCCATACGAGAGTAGTGAAAACAATACCAGAATAGTGTGACCAAGGAGATGTTTGAAGTGGTCCTTGAAAGCACGCATAAAATCAGCATAACATTGTACCGGCGACCGGCCTTTCAAGACGGGAAGGGAATCACAACCGAGTGAAACGTACTCGTAATTCCTTCTTCCCCATTGATCTGTGTATGCAAGGTCTGGATCTTTCTCCATCTCTTCCCTTACCCATTTCGGCAAAGGAATTCTGTACAACAAATTATCCATTATTTTATAAATTATTTTCGCTTTAAAGAAAATGGGAGGGTAAGAAGGAGAAACGCACGTGCAAGAGTCACCAACATTGCCGCCGCACTGGTGGAAGGACATGACGGCCTGGACTCCTAGGCCGTGTTTGTTGGCCATGTCGAGTAGCTCGGTGTAGCCACCCCAATTGTAACAGCCCGGCACCTCCCTCTCCACTAGCCCCCACCAAACGTCAATCATGATCCCCTCCACACCCGCACTTTTCAAAGCGTGAAGACTCGCATTCATCGCTTTCTTCCTATTCACCGTGTTCCCATTCGTCACGCTATCCAACGGCATCATCACGAACACCGGAACTCCTTTCTTCTCCTCCTTCCTACCTCCGTCCTTCCACTCCGCCGTCCCCGGATCCTCCGTCGCGTAGGCCTGACAAGCCGCCGAAAGATCCGGACGCAGCGTCGGGAGATTAATCAGATGCGACCAGTCTCCGGCACTGCGAGGAGTCAGGGGTGGTGTCAACATAGGTGGGGATACAGTTTCTTGTGGGCTGTTGGATCGGAGATTCCCGGAAGGTGCTTTCCAAACGGCGGAGGTGCTAGCCGTGGCCGAGGATGGTTGTTCTCCGGTGGAGAATTCGGTGGGAAATTGATTGCCGGAGAAGGTTCCGATCTGGTGTCCCAAATGCATGGCCATTTTTTGTTTGGATTAAGTGAGCGAATGAGAAGGAAAAAGGTGACTTATGTTCGTCGAAGAAGCCGTTTTCCAGGAACGAAAAAAAAAACCAAATATGAGATTTTATTACTTCCATAGCCAAACAGATTTTATAGTATCCTCTTTTTAAAGGCGCCTTTATCTCTCGACACGTGCCGTATGGAACGTCCATTGGCTTTGTTCAAATGAGGATTGACATTCGTTGAATAAAGAACAGGAAACGAAGAACAAACACGTGGTTGTTAGGGAACCATTTACATGTCCTGTGGCTTCGGTATTTTGTCCTATTGGAATGTCAACGGCAGGAAGACACGTGGAAGGGATTGAGGGGAAGTAGGATGGCAGATAATGCCATCGCCTGTTTGTTTAAGACATGTATGTATTGTACGAAACACTGGCCACTTAAGGAGATATCAACGGTGAGAAAAATCCAATTTACCTTTTATTTTTTAGTATAAATATTGTATTTATATATGCATATAAATTTTGGATTATAATTTAAATAGTCAATTTATAGTGTTTGTCATTATTGAGGGCCTTACTCTGACAAGTAAGGGATGTGTCTTTTTATTTGATGCTTGAAGAAATAAGCTCATATAACGACTCTGTTAAAACTGGCCGGTAATCCACTCTTAGAAGTATTTAAGGTAATGCGAATCCTACATTCTTGGCACATAATCAGAATAACATTAACATAGAATGTGAGGTAACGTTTGATATTAACACAAATAGAATTTGGACTGTAGTGATAAATTTTCAACAAGTTCTGTTCTTTCGCTGCTACTAGTGTTTTCAAGGTAAGCCCCTTGGTTTGTGTTCCAATGTCCCAACGGATAACACATATTCATAGCGATGCAGATTCCCTTTTACATTGACAATAGAATCATGCTCATCCACTTATGGTACAGATTCGTTGGGGTGCACATCCACAACTTTTCAATACACATTATATGGCCTCTTCATGGTTGATTACCTTTAAGTAGCTGGTGGGATCTTTCTGACCATAATATCTCTTTGTCAAAAATAAATTAGGATATAAATGCAGTATAACAGAAATGGTTCCCAAAATAACGATAATGGTGATTTTACAACTCTCGAAAAGGCATCTGTCTAAACCCTCAACAATTCAACGAGGCAGGTACGTAGAAATTTACCCCACCAAAGTGCATTAAAAATATTGTTTTGTTAGTATACTGGGATGAGGTTCTAGGTCCCTTAAGTAATGTCAGAGGTTCAAATCATGGTATTTGAAAATGGAGAAAACTGGGTTGGGAGGGTCACTCTCGCCTCTGCAGTACCCGATCTAGATTAATCGGATACCAGTGATTAATTCCAAAAAAAAATATTGCTTTGTTGGCGTTAGATAAGAAAAAGTAAATATCTTAAAATTTGGTTGCCTCTCAAAAGAGTGGGCGTGCCGGAGTGGTTATCGGGCATGACTAGAAATCATGTGGGCTCTGCCCGCGCAGGTTCGAATCCTGCCGCTCACGCATCTCAATCTTTTAAACTTTGTCCTTTTTCATTCAATTAAACAACAGTATACCTTTATTCTTTTTCATTTAGTTAAACTAGACCAACTTGTTTAATAAAATATTATCAAAAACTTAATTTTTTATTTTTTATATAAATATATAGTTTTCGATATTTAACTTTTGATTATTTGCACGAACTAAATTATCGTAACAGTTAAAGGAATCGTTATTTCTAGGTCACGGATTCAAGCACTATTCATTTGTCAAATAATTGAAATTATTTAGAACAAATACTACTTAGTAATCACCTTAACTCATTAAAAAAAACTCTTTATCACTCAAACATTCAAAATTTAAATTAGGATCAAACTTAAAATTTAAAATCTTTTATATTAATTCAAATAATTAAATAAAAAAAGATTTTGAATAATCTATTGGGAAGCTTTACGTAAGCTTCGTATAATTGTTGCAGATCATCAGTGGAGCCGAAACAAAAGCTGAAAATGACTTCTTCTAAATCCATTTGCAGTGTTTTTCAAAAGGGCTCCACCATTTGTGGCGGCTGAGATTAACCCATTCCATAGTATCTCTCACACATCTTTGCCATTGTATTTTTTGAATTAACTTTTCTTTCAAACATTCTTTGTTTACTGTTTTTACGTTTATATTCACGTCCCATTCATCCAAATTACATTTATGCTCATCTTAATCGTGTGTATGATGAAAGAAACTTATCAAGACTAGTCAAAATTGGAGTAATATAGTTCTGTCAAAGACGTGTTTGACAAAACGTCTAAGAGAAATGAAAAATAAAAAGCCATCTTCCTTACCACACTCTTAATAGTTTTTTTAATCTTCTTTCGAGGCAACTCAGTAAAATAAGATCATGGCCTCTTCAGCTAGTTTTGCACTCCCCGGTTCTTCCTTTCTTCATAACAAGGTCAGTAATTTACAGGTCTCTCTCTGTTCCTTCATGTTTAGTATTATGTATGTCACTCAGAATCGGAGTCGACAACGTTCATCGGCCATCCTACTGAATACGGACATGGATCGACAGAGAGGATATTGAAATTTTATATAGTTTAGATATTTTTTTTGCTTTTCTTTTATTGATTTTATCGAGTCGTGAACTATTGAAAGTTATAATATGTATTGTTTTGTTGAGTCATTTAATTATTAAAAGTTAAAAAATGATTACTCGACTATTCATATATTTTAAATTCGTCTTTCTTCGTTAAATTATTTGCAGTTGTGTGAGCTAGATGTTAAACTATTAGCTAGAATATGATAAAATCTGATCATAGAATCGTTTGACATGTATTTTGTGGATCATTTCTTTGTTTACATTATGTCGTCGAGTAAATACTTAAACATTATATCGTAGAGTCAGTGTTTGAAAGCAACATTGATGTCACTGGTTATTATTAAAATATAATTTTATTACATCTCAATTAACATGTTAACGTTTAGTTCAGAAGACCGTTAATTTTTAAACGGAAAAGGACTTGAGGAACTCAATAAAATAACGAATTATAAACAATATACATTATATAACTTTTAATAATCGATAGACTTGATAAAACAACGCGCTATATGTAAAGAGTATTTGAGTACTTTACTTTTAATTTTATATCATGAAATTTTATTATTTTATCTCTTTAAATTTTAATATAACTTCACTTGTAATATATAATCATGCGAACAAAAGGATGCTTAGAATCCATGTAGCATAGAAAATTAGTAGATAGTAACCCTTTTTTACAGTTTTTTTTATTTGTTAATAAATGATCAGAAAGATTTGAGCGTCTCAGTCGTCCCTTCAACCTCGCAACTCTCCATTTACAAATGCAAACAACCCATTTCCAAGAACATTGTGATGGCGATGGAGACGCAACAATCGGAGCGAAAACCAGCCACTACTGGCTCTGTTAGTTCCTCCTATTTTTTCTCTGGACCATTTATCTTCGATAGATTTCAGAAATTTAATTGTTTTCTTTGTCTCAGATAAAGACTCCGATGAGTATGACGGAAAAGATTCTTGCAAAAGCCTCGGGGAAAGGAGGGGTGAGAGCAGGTGACAACGTTTGGGTGAATGTTGATGTTTTCATGACTAATGATATTAGTGGCCCTGGTTCCATTGGTATCTTCCGAAGAGAATTTGGGCAAAATGCTAAGGTACCTATGTTACTACATGGATTTTTTTTTTCTTTTTATTATCTTTCTCAAACGATACTACTTTAATTTTTTGGCATAATGCCAAAAATAGCTCCCAATATTTACTAAAATAATCATTTTAGCTCATATTCATTTTTTTGAGTATTTTGATGCCAATATTTTATTTTGAGGTAAAACGTTATCTATATAGATAAAAACTATTAGTTAACACACGATTGAATACAATTTTTTTATTATTTTAGATAAGGTAACATATGCTTGAAAGATTCTCAACCATTTAACAATAAATGCTCAATCACTTGCAAATATGGTGTTTGAACCTAAAACTTTAAAGATAACAATAACTTCTTTAATCATCGAGGTCGCTTGATTCGTACTTTAAATTAAAATTTAAACATAAATACGAAGGCTTAATTCATTAACTACCATAATTGTTTCTATATTTGAAGGTTTGGGACCGTGAAAAGGTAGTTGTTATACCTGACCATTACATATTCACGAGCGATGAACGTGCAAATCGTAATGTGGATATCTTGAGGGAGTTCTCATTGGAGCAAAATATCAAATATTTTTACGACATTAAAGATCTTAGTAATTTCAAGGTATGCACTCTTTGATTGTTAAGTTTTTCCAAATAATTAGTTCTTTTGAATTATTTACCTCTGACACTTCCGCTTTATGCATAATTTGAGTAGTATAGATTTAGAGATATAATTTTCTAAGTTTATTTTTGAGATGTACACCCAACTTGAATAGTATAATCTTGTAGTTCTATTTTTCACTCAATTATTACGTAGAGATTCCGAATTCGAACAACTATATTTATAGGCAAAGACGAACCCACATTATAGGTGGGTTTTAAAATTCATTTTCGAGTAGTATGAATATAGAGATATAATTTTCTAAATTCATTTTTGAAATGTACATCCAATTTCGAATAACATAATATTGTAGTTCTATTTTTTACTCAATTATTTTGTAGAGATCCCAAATTCGAGCAACCATATTTGTAGGCAATGCCTCCAAACTTTGATGGTTTAATTATCTTTGTCATTGGTAGTTTTAAAATCATTACAATTAAGCCTTTGACTCTCAATTTTTTTGGTATAATTGTTTTTCAGAACATTGTCAGTTTTAAAATTAATAAAATTAAGTATTGACACCAAATTTGTCTAGTTTATTTACTTTTTAAAACCTTTGAATTTTAAAATTAGAGAAATCAAGCCCTTAATTTCTTAATTTTTATAGTTTAATTACTTTTTAGGATCCTATTTATTTTATAGTTAAACAACTTGCCTCCCTCATACTTTAATCATGGCTTCGTCCCTATTTGTAGGGGATGTGTGAGTTATCAATAGATTAAGAAATTTAGACTAAGAAATTTTGAATAAATACTATATTGTAATCACTCATACTATTAAAAAGAATAACGATGCTGTTTGGGCTCTTCATTTTCCTGAAAAGTTGTGTCTACGATACATATCTAAAACATGGATATGAGGATATGAACTCAAAGATTCTTTAAATACATGAAAAAGAAATACATGGAAATACATAATCGTATCAGTCACTCGCGCCCGAATTTGATGAACATAATCTCTATTTTTTATATACTAAACTAAAGTCCAAGCCATATTATTGCAGGCTAACCCTGACTACAAAGGTGTATGCCATATTGCACTTGCTCAAGAAGGTCACTGCAGGCCCGGAGAGGTGATTAATAAAACCTTACTAGTACATGAAAAATACTTAGAATGTACTGAATATATTCATGTCCGATACTCAGATCCAAATCCGGATTCGAGTAACATAGTATGCTCCTGCTTTCAGGTTTTGTTAGGGACAGATTCTCACACCTGTACTGCTGGAGCATTTGGTCAGTTTGCTACTGGCATTGGAAATACAGAAGCTGGTTTTGTGTTGGGCACTGGGGCTCTTTTGCTCAAGGTTTGATTTTACTTTGAAGTTTCAGTTTCAGTTTCAGAAATGTGTTTATCATCATGTTCCTCACATGATTTCATGGACTTTACATGTTTTTGGAACACTTGTATGCAATATATTTTTGAATACGAACATGACCCTCTTAAAACCCCCTAAATACATGAAAAATTCAGGAAAATAAAACATGTTCGCATGGGATTTAAATAGAGGTCTATTATTGAAATAGCGATTGTTATATAGCGGTAACGGTGTCATCTGAAATCATTATTACACGACCGTGATATTTGCAATAACTACTAGCATTTGTTATGTACACAATCATGATAAACAAAATACGACTGAAACATGACAGCAATCACAATTTAAATCACTGTCTGTGTCCAACACTTAAACCTAGATTAGGTTAGGTAAAGGCATAATGAAGTGTAATTCTGTTGGATGACAATTGTAGGTGCCAGAGACTTTGAGATTTGTAATGGACGGTGAAATGCCTGATTATTTGCTGGCTAAGGATTTGATTTTGCAGGTACGTAACTTTTACATTTTGAAGCAATTGTTTCTTCTAACAGTCTTGTGGAAAAATAATGGTAAAACTACGGTGATAACTACTTAATTATAGGTAAATTATACTTTGACCAGTGATCTTTCAATTTTGTCAATCATATCACTGAATTATTTAAATGATGCCAATTAAGCTATATGTCATCAACATTTGACGGAGTAGTTGACGTAACAGTTAACAAAACTTGATATAATTACACATATAATCCTCATTACTTATATATTGTATCAATTTAATCATTCTACCGATAGTGACACGTGTTATCATCTAAATGAATAATTAAATTTATTGAATTAAATTTAAGATTAACCGATAGAATGTGTAAGTAATTAGGACCAAATATGTAATCATATGAAAGTTTTTAACTGTCACGTCAGCTACTCCATCAAATGGTAATGAAATATAGCTTAATTGGCTTCATTTAAATAATTAAGTGATCTGATTGACAAAACTAAAAGATCAGTGCTCAAAATAGAATTTATCCATCATTAAGTGGTCATGGGTATAGTTTGCCTTAAAATAGTTGTTCTGATCTTTTGTTATTGTAAAAAACATTCAAATTGGATACGTACTTGGAAATGAATATGGAGAAACCTTCCAAATATATTAATAAAGATTATAAATATTGATGTTGGACGCATACTGTATATCCAATACTCACTCGAATCTGAATAACATATGTCTTGCTATAATGGTGGTGGTTTAATTTGTAGATTATCGGTGAAATATCTGTGGCTGGTGCTACATATAAATCCATGGAGTTTGTTGGCACAACCATTGAGAGTTTAAATGTAAGCCACCTTGAATTGTTGAATTCAAATGTTTTCAATATGAATCTAATTGTTTTATTATCATTTTCACTGCTTTAGATGGAAGAACGGATGACATTATGTAATATGGTTATCGAAGCTGGTGGAAAGAACGGTGTCATTTCTGCTGATACTACTACATTTAAGTACCTTGAGGTGAGTGCTTATGCCATCACTTTTAACTGATTTAAGATTATATGCTAGTGTAAATTTATAGTTGATATTATTTACTTAACGGTTGAGATTATCATATTGTTTTTTCTTGTGAATATCTTCTTATTTCCTGTTGTCAATTTCAGTTGTCTATTTTTACATAACCAATAATATCTTGCCCGATATATGTATATATTGCATCTATTGCTTTGTTTATGTACTTTTGGTTTGTAGAGTTACCATCTTTTTCTTACAGGACAAAACATCTGTGCCATATGAACCGGTTTACAGTGATGCACAAGCAAGGTATATTTGTATATTTTAGGGCGACAACTCCGATTAAATTACTGTCTGTGATTCTATTTTTATCAACATTATTATCCTTTTTACCTTCAACATTAATACATATACACATTCTCATAACCTGTGTACTTGGAGTCTTAATTCTTTTGTGGCACATTGAACGTACATGGATATAATAATATGAATCCTTTGGCTTTCAGTTTCCTTTCAGAGTTCAGATTTGATATCTCAAATTTGGAGCCCTTGGTAGCTAAGGTGAGTGTCTATACGACCTTAAAAACTCTAAATTCATAAAAATTTGAAAAATACATCCGTCTTTGTATCCGTGACTCAAAATCCAGCTTAAAGATAGTATCATAAAAATGGGTTGTTTTTTTGAGTAATTAGTGGAATGCATTTTACAGCCTCATTCTCCAGATAATCGTGCTTTGGCAAGAGAATGCAAAGATATCAAAGTTGACAGGGTTTATATAGGATCTTGTACCGGTGGAAAAACACAAGATTTTCTCGCTGCTGCCAAACTCTTCTTAGCTGCTGTAACATTCTCATTTTTATTTTATGTATATATATATACATATATTTGAAAATTCCCATGTCTTATCCGTATCCATGCTTTCAAGAGTAGAAAGAACTGGGTAGCTGTTACATACTTCATAACCCTGTTTGTGAGTTGGGACTTATTTGCTTGAAAATGCAGGGCAAAAAGGTGAAAGTTCCCACATTCCTTGTCCCTGCTACACAAAAGGTACATCAAGTTGAAGTTTAAATTATGTTATTCCAATATTTTATTTTTCAAAGTACTCATAATCAACACTCATATTTGATCCGAACATGAGTAAAGGGATGTATGTCCCATTATTTATTGTTTAAAATTTTAAACGTATTTAAAAATATACTTGTTATCATCTGAATATCGCTTGTGAAATTATTTAATTTCTTTTATTGATAGTGTATCAAATAACAACTCTTATTAGATATAGTATTACGATGAATGAGTGAATTTAAATCGTTAAACATGATGAATTTTCAGGTGTGGGTGGATATATACACTGTGACTGTACCAGGATCTGGAGGCAAGACTTGCTCTCAAATATTCGAAGAAGCTGGTTGCGACACACCTGCAAGCCCTAGTTGTGCTGCTTGTATGGGTGGTCCTAAGGATACTTATGCTCGCATGAACGAAGCTCAGGCAAGTTATCTTTTTACCCTTTCCATCAGAGGGGTTGGTGGGGCGGTCATCCTAAAAATTTTAAATTTTTATATTTTTTATATATTTTCTTTATATTATCATAACTTCACCCCTTTAACATAAAATCATATGTTTATCATTCTTTAGAAGAGTCATTTTGAATCTTTTCGAATTACTATAAATTAACTTGATCATATTTGTTTTGTTTTTGCAATAATTTTAATAGGTTTGTGTGTCAACAACAAATAGAAACTTCCCTGGTCGGATGGGGCATAAGGAAGGACAGATATATCTTGCTTCCCCATACACTGCCGCTGCTTCAGCTTTGACCGGCTATATTACTGATCCAAGACATTTTCTGCATCAGATATCACATTGTGTGTGATTTGAACTACTTTTTATGTATAAATTCCGACTTGAACTCGGATTGATGTAAGAAATGTTAAGAATATAGAAAGTTAAATCCTATTGGGATAAAAAAAAAAGAAAAAAGAAAGTGGTGATGATTTATATATCATCACTTTCTCTCTTCTTTATTGAGCATCGGTGGACATGTCTCTCTCATGAGTGTTGTCGTCGCTAATCGGTTTAGTTCATGATAATTATATATCCTCAATATGTATTGCACACATACAATCTTTTTGAAGAAAATTAGGATAATTTTCTACAAGTTTTAAGCTTGAATGAGAAATCATCTCTAATAGACAATCTATTAATCAAAATTAATGCCATGTTTATTAGTTTAGGATTAATGGTGTTCCTGTTAAGACCAATTTTATGTTATAACCTAGCGTGATAAATCCAATTTCCATTTATGGGTATTCCTTATTTACATGATTGGCATTTATTTAAAGATTTTTATTTGGGATAATTTCTATTTTTCATTTCATAGGAAACATTTGAAATTTGTAGGGAAGATGGTGTTGGAAAGGGTTAAATTGAATGTTTTCAGCAAGCATATGCATGAGCCAAAATTAAAGGAACGTGGAAGAGAGCTGAAGACAATGGGTTACGTTCCATGGAAAACCAACAAAATGGAATCGTTACGTAGCTGTGTAAACAATATCACACCATTACTTGTACCAATTAAGATACGAAAAAGGTTTGTGAAGATGTTAATATTATGGACAAGAAGCAAATGGCAGTGGCTAGTCCTCATGGATCGGAGGATTCCGACGAAGGCAGGGAGAAATCGAGTCCCGCAACACCCGTTCAGTCTTCGCCGGATCTTTCCGATGAATCCGTATTTATTACCTCTCATTTATTTGATTTCTTGGATTCTTCGCTTCCCATTACCGTTAAGGGTTGTCAATGGGTGTTGCTCTATAGGTAAGTCTAGGTAGTGACTATGTTTAGATGAATTTAGGGTTTGATTTGATGTAAAATGTTTGGAATGAAGGGCAGGTCGAAACATGGTATATCACTCCGCACACTTACTCGCAAGAGCAACCTGCTTCCTGGTCCCTGTTTGCTGGTATGTTCAGTTTTATGTTCTCATTCGCTAAGTTTTGAACGAATAAAGTTGTGTTCATTTGTTTATTTTTTTAAAGTGTTACAATTCATTATTTTCTTTTATTGACGATGACTAAATTGACACAAAATTGAATCGTTAGTAGTTTAGTCAATGAAGTTTTTAACTTCATAGTTAAAACAGAATTAGACTCCACACTTTAATGACTAACGAGTAATTTAAGTCAATATTATTTTGTTAAGATAAACATAAGAATGATTTATATGTGACAAAACCATTTAATCAAAATCAGGATCGAAAGTGTTATCTCCCAAGAAAATTAAACATAATAGTTGAGTCAAATTAATTGTTGAAAAAGGATAGTTCAAATACATAGGATAAGTATAGTTCAAACACATATTTCAAACAAGCAAGACGCAGTGCAGTGGGGCTTAGTTCCTTTTAGCCTTTTTCATATTGGCAACGTAATGGAACAAACTCCCATCAAAGCATCCCCTCACTGCTTCTTTTGATAGATAACCTTGCTCATCCTTTGCAACTCGATACAAAAGCGTCCATTCCCCCTTTGAGATTATCCTAAAAAGAGTTGAAAAATCTCAGAGGACGTGTTCTAAACGAAAACACGAAATCGAAAGAAAAGGGTGCTCGAAAATACCAGCCAAGGAAGTCGTATTGGTTTCGATTTGCCTCGGTCATGTGCCACACTTCTTTGAATGTTAATTTGTCAGGCACAGTTCGAGCATACTTGCTGAAGATGCTCTCAAAATTCATTGGCATGAACCTGAAAATCCCAATTATATCATAACAAGACTCAAAATATGTCTTTAGTGATTCAAAGGTTATACGGCAATTACCTTCCTTCAGTGTCAAACGTTGCTGTATCACTGCCATGCTTGCATTTGTGTATTCTGTCAATATATATGGGGAAAAATAGCTCCGGTATCCATCCCTATCAAAATTGTGAAATTAACAAGTATATCATATGTTATGTAAATAGACGTGAACTGTATATATTCATTTTCTATGACGACTTACTTCCAGTGTGGAAAAACTCAATCCTATATTGATGAGGATTGCAGCAAAAAGGCTTTCAAAGCGACCGAAACCAAGATTTCTCATACCTGGTTCTTACATAAATTTTTCTTATGAGATTAGAACATAGATATAAAAAAGAAAATTTGTGGATAGAGAAAAAGAACCTCTGTAAGTTTCCCAGGGATAAACGATTCCATCTTTGTTTTGATCAAAAAAGGAAGCATGTTGCTGAAGAACACTCATTCCTTTTCTGTCATTTCCTTCTGTTCCATGTGGATGTTCAACGTCCACAGGTACCATCGCCCTTCCCACATCTGATCCCACATTTTATAGATGTGTTACTCAAACAAGGACTTCAAACACCATATCCAACTAACAATCGGTTATTCTAGTCGGTCTAGTAAGATGAGACACTATATTCTTTAAGCAAAGTCAAAAATTTGAATCCTAAGGTTTGCGAATGGAAGATTAATTTAAGAGGTTGTCCTATAATGGTATTCTACGAAATTCGATTTGAATTAATCAATTAATAGATCAGATACTAATGATCAAATATCATATTGAGTTTTGAACTAAGAAAATTGAAAGCACAAAGGAAGAAATAAAGAAACTTTACAGGGTTTGGGTAATTTCTCCTCGAGGTCCGATCGGATCTTTCTTTCACGAGTCAATGGAGCTCTCGGTGCCTCTGTTGCCATGTCCATTTTTTTTTTCTATGCTTGCTTTCCTCTTCTTCTTCTTTGGAGATTGTGAGTTTTCTCATAAGCAATGAAGCTCTCCTTATATAGAAAATCTTGTCATCAAGCAAGATACTACCCTCCTTTAGCCACCCCAATTATTGTTAGGTACGTAGTGATAAAATTAAATTTTAATGCTTAAATAAATAAATACTTTAGTGCCAATTTTTTTTTATTTTTGTATTTTAGTCTTTAATATTTTAATTTTTGATTAAAATATTTTTTGATGAATGAAAATCATTAGTTGACTAATAATAAACGTGAGTTATAGACATAACATTTTCATATGTAATTAATTAGTGACGTTATACATATTATAGTATCACTTTAATTGATGACACATATCATGTAATCACTTTAAATGATATATCACTCGTTATATCATTACTTTAGTTGACTTAATATATATTACATCATCATTTTAAATGATATATCACTTACCATATCATCATTCTATGACATATCAATAATTAAACATATATAAAAACATCACAACTACGTCATGTATTGATCTTTATTCAACTAATAATTTTCATTTAACATAAATTATTTTAACAAAAAATTAAAACCTTAAAGATTAATTTTATCATCATTTCTTTTATTAATTATTAATATATTTTTAAAGTAAGTTATCTTTATAAATTTAATATTCATGGGTGGGGCAATATTTTTGCCCCATGCTTTAATGACAACTTGACACCCTCCCATGCTTTAATGCCATCATCAGTTAATATATTTTATAATAAGTTGGCACAAATTTCAACTTCACAAAACTAGGGCAAAGCTTGGATGCATTCATCCACTCAAATTTTATAATGAACAAAACGACAGTTGTCACTCACAATTTCAATAACATTTTCTTTAAAATAATTAGGTGAGAGAATTGGCGTCACGGTGTTATAAAACAAATTTAAATAATTAAATAAAATATTAATTGATGATACGATGTCAACTTGCTAGTCCAATCATTTAAATGATGCATTTTTTATACAATTAAGCAATTTTAGTAATAAAAAAATTATTATTCTTTTTTAAAATTTTAAATTCGAGTATATGAATATTAAGAGTTTGATTTTATCTGAGAGTTATCTTTAAAAAAAATACTGACTTATATTTATTTTTGATTAATAAAAAAATTATAAATTTCTCATAGTAGATCTAGAAATATTTTAAGCATAAATATACATATGAATCACATAAATTTATTTTAATGTGATGAACATAAATAAAATTTTAAACTTAATATTATTAATAAAATAAATAATTAATCGAAAATTTTAAAATGTTAAGAAAGGCACGTGAACCTCCCCTGTTTTAATGCATACTTTGTTGTTTCAAGATTATACATAATCTCTAACACATTTTCCAATATATTCAATATCAGATCTTAGCAGATTTCATGCAGTTTAAACAACTATATATTGTTATTAAATATGTAATTCTAACTCCCTTGACATTATTATAATTCTCTCTTTGCTTTTCTTTCTTAAATGCTTTTATTTTCACAATGATTTATTGTGAATACAACATAAGCAAAAAAATAGTAAAAATATAATTTGCGTTTAATTTATTGAGTGACTTTAGATATAAAAGGAAATGTTATTCTCTTTAAAGAACTCGAATTCAAACAATTGTTTCTGTAAGGTATATATGCATTATCAATGATTAAAAAATATTTTAAAAATATAATACCTTTATAGTCGGAGGATCATTTTGTAACTTTTAATAGTTGAGAGACACAATAAAACAACATTGTATACACAAGGGACCATTTGTGTATTTTTCCTATTTTTTAAGATATGTTATCTTTATATAAAGTGTTTTAACTTTTTAATATTTACCAACATTACTATTAACTTGATTTAAAAGTTACTTTGTATCTTAAAAAAATTAAAAGGTTTAATGTAAAAATAAGGGTTCAAATATTTGTTAAGTTAACTTTAAGTGCTAAAAAATTCCATTAAAAATAGGCATCTAATGTTTTTTGAGCTATACTTTTAGTTGCATACACAGTAATGACCGTTAAGTAACATGTGTTATTCTTATATTTTAATTTAATGAAAAAATAAATTAGGTCTGACCCTGTGCTGGATCGAGTTAGGTAAAAAAAATCGAGTATCGAGTTGACGAGTCATGTTTATAACTCGAACTTGATTTGAAATTTATTAGAGTCGATTTTTGAGTTTCTGTTTAAATTTAATTGTAAATATTTATAATAGTATGTACTATTTGATTTCAATTTAAATGTTTTTTTATAATCATATACAACACATTTATATTTCTTCATAAGTAATACATATATCATATAAAGTCGATGGACTTGACTAAAACTTGAAAATCAATCCACTAATTATTAAATTTTTTTAGTTGTTTTAGTTATTCAAGTTGTATTTTATAACTTGATTTAAACTTGAAATTTTTTCGAGTTGACTTGAGTTTATGAAATTCAAATTCGAAGTAAATTCGAATCGAGTCAAGTCGAAAAAATCGATTTTTCGAGCGAATTTGAGTTTTGCTCACTCTTAGCCTTTTCCTTTTTCAAGTAGGATTACTATTAAATTTAGAATTTATAAAAAAAAATTATAAAAATTTCAACTTCACAAAACTAAGGAAGACCAAAAGTTTCTTGGACCAAAGTTTTGTATGAACAAAACGACAATTTTATAAACAATTTCAATAATAATAGAGTGAGAGGGATGGTATCGTGGGGTTCTAAAACAAATTTAAAAAATAAAACCGATGTTTGTAGATGCTAACTCAATGTTATGTAGTTATTATTTTATGATATTTTCCTTTGGACGGCATTAGCATAATTGAGATATAAAAAACAACTTAAAAATAATTAAAACACAACCTATAATGAAAATTATATATGGACAGCAAATTAATCTGCCAAAATATATAACGCTTAATGTAAAAACAAATTATTAAACTATACTTAAAGTTGTTTAATTTTTTTCACTTAAAGTAGATGTTTAACGTTTCGGACATTGTTATTTTAAGTGCATACGTTGTAACAGTTATTAAAAAAATTATTTATTTGACATATGTCATACTTATAAATTTTTGATTTTTTATTCATAAAATATACTTAAAATTATTATTATTTTTTTAAAACCTACACTTTTTCTAAGATTAAAAAAAACTCAAAATCCCAAAAAACGCTAATTCTAATTTTCTTACCACAGTCGACCGCCACAAATGTCAGTAACCGAGCTAAACCTTGACGACAAGCAATCGCTCGAATACCCACTGCCTTAACCCCCATCTTTCAAGCGATGATTGTAAAAAAAAATGACCAATTGCAGTGTGACGAATCCGGTTAGACGATTCCAATGATTCAAGCGACCATTCCTCGTATCTGCATCGAAATCCAATTAGATGAAGTGGCCGACAATAAAGGGTCACGACCAGGAAAACATCGGCGACGGCCTGCATAGGTGGAAGGATTTGGAATTAGATTTTTAGAGTTTTGGGTTGTTAAGATTTAATAAAAAATAGGATTTTTAAAAATAAATTATAATATTAAATTTTTTATTTTAAAATTTTATTAGTATAACATATGTCATATAACAATTTTTTTAATAGTTATGACAAACTAGATACGTAAAAAGATAACATCAGAAATGTTAAACACCTACTTTAAACAAAAAAAATCTTTAAAGGAGCTAAACCTAACACACTTATGCTTTGCAGATGATTTACTCATATTTTGCAAAGATAGCTTTGATTCTATTGTAGGAGTGAATTGTGTTTTGGAAAGGTTCTATGAGATGTCAGGGCTGAGGCTCAATGCTGCTAAGACTGAAATTTTCATGGCTGGTGTGAATGATGATCTTAGGACATTGGTCCATGAGTTTACTGGATTCAAACTAGGCTGCCTTCCTGTGAGATACCTAGGGGTGCCTCTTGTCCCTAGGAAATTAACAGTGAAAGATTGTGCCAGTCTAGTGGAGAAAATCAAAGCAAAACTTGGACTTTGGTCCAATAGATGGTTGAGTTATGCAGGCGGATTGCAACTGGTAAAGTCGGTCTTATTTAGCACGGCCAACTACTGGTGTAGGCAGCTTGTTCTGCCTACTGCTGTGATTAAAAGGGTGAACCAGCTTTGTGCAAGGTTTTTCTGGAAAGGGGGTGACATTCCAGGTAAGGGAGCCCGAGTGAGCTGGGAGAGCATTTGCACCCCTAAGTCTGAGGGGGCTTAGGCCTTAAGCATTTAGCTTGCTGGAATAAAGCTTGTATTCTGTTATTAGTTAAAGAACTTCTCATGGCTGAAGGTTTTCTTTGGGTCGCCTGCGTGAGGTTATATGTTTTTAAAGGAGTTGACTTCTGGTATGTTGCAGGCAAGCATTCCTTTAGTTGGAGTATACGAAAAATTCTAAAGTTAAGGGAGGAAGTGCAACCTTTGTTCTCGGGGATCATGTACTGGGACAAGATTACAACTCGTTGGCTATGGCAGGAGATTAGGGGAAGGAAAGAGAAGGTGTAATGGCATAAGGTTGTCTGGTTTCCTTTGCACATTCCTAAACACTCCCTCATTGCCTAGATGGCTATTCCTGACAGATTGCCTACTGTTAATAGACTTGCTCGAATGGGGATTGGGGTGGAAGATAAATGCAGGTCGTGTGGAACTAAGGCTGAGACCCGCAGTCACATCTTTTTTGGATGCTCCTTTTCAAAGGCTGTTTGGGAGGTGATTACCCGGTTATGTAATGTTGACCGAATGGTGGGGTGCTGGGACGAGGAACTGAATTGGGCCATCTCTCGGTTTAAAGGCAAAACCCTCTTTGTGTCTATATTTAGAATAGCTTGGTGTGCATCTGTATACTGTATATGGGAGGAAAGAAATCATAGGCAGTTTAAGGGCATTAGTAGAGATGTTGATAGTGTGGTTAGCGGTATTAAAGAAATTGTTAGGCTGAAGTCAACTCGTTTTGTCATAAAAAAATAGTGTTAACAATAGAAATCTTTGTTTAGCTTGGGGGATTAGCAACTCTTAGGAGGTGTTGCTTGTTTTGTGACTTGTATTGATTGTAGCAGTGAGTTTCTATTGGTTCTTGGATAATAATATGAAACTTATCCAAAAAAAATCTTTAAATACTTAAAATTAAAAAAAATATACAGGACATGCTAGTCGTAAGTTATGTAGGATTTTTTAATATATTATATTAATATTATTACGTATGAATATTTTTCTTTATATATTAAATTAATATTATTACGTACGAATCTTTTTCTTAATATATTAAATTAATATTATTTATTATGTAGGAATTTTTTCTTAGTATATTTGAATTAAAATAATTTATCGTATAATATTCTTAGTGCAATAACTTACGAATTTTTTTCACGTCTTTTAATTACCCTTAAATATGCAAACAAACTTAGTGACAGCTACAATAAAAACCTTTACGATAAGAACAATGAGAATCAAAATAATATTTCGTTGAAACAGGTCCGATAAATAATATATTTTAATCCTTTATTTTTGTTCATTTTTATTTTTCTACCTCTAAATACGGTTGCATTCATTTTATTCCATTTATTACTTTTACTTTATTATATGTATTAATATTATTTTTTATTAATTATATGTATTAATATTAGATTATATATGTATACATATATCATATAATTTTCAGCATACTTTGGATATAATTATTATTATACTATATCGATTTATATATTATGTGAATATGCTATTTGTGTTTTTATTATATAGATATATTTCATGTTTTGTTAAAATAAATATAATTTCTTTTCGAATAATAAATATTTAAGTATATCATTTTTATCTATATATTTTGTAAAATGAGGTAATATTGTTTTGTGTTTTTAAGGATTACTCGTATGAAATAATACCCTCTTAAATTTTAAGTTTTGCAAGGATCATAATTTAAGTGTATATTCGAGTTTGTAAGTTTCAATATTTAGACGAAAGATGGGGGTGGGAAAATTATTTTTTAAATATTTTTAAAATAATATTTTAATTTCTTTAAAAAATAAAATTTTCAAAAAAATTACTAACATGACACATGTTATTTAACATGATTTTTTAATGGATGTTACGGCCAAAACACTTAAGATGGTAACGTTAGTAACATTAGACACCTATATTGACTGAAAAAAATTTAGACACGTAAATGATAAAGAGTGTATAGTTTAGGTATTTTTTATATTAAACCTAATAATAAATAAATAATAGTTATATGTTATTTACTATAAAAGTTATTCTAAATTAAAAGTAATTTAATACAATTAAGTTTTGTGGGGCCAAATACACGAGTTAATGTGTAATAATTACAAAATCAAAATTATAATATTCAAAGTTTCGATACAAATGATTCAAGTTTTCCTTGATACATTTTGAATTATTCAGTTTATATGATATTTTAATAATTTTAACACTTATATTTCATTTATTTGCTTTACCTTTTATATATTAATTAAAAGTGTGAGTCTATTTTTTAACTTCTGTGTGCAATTATATTTATATAATATCAATATTATATTATAGGGTAAATTATCGCTTTACTCGTTAAATTAGGGGGTTGGTTCTATTTTGGTCATCAACCTAAAGATCCTACCAAATTAGTCCCAAAAAGCATATCAAACTATGCTTGTGACTTTGTTGTGGCGTGATGATCACTTCTATTTTGACCATTTTTGTGTGCTTCGGGCTATGCTTTAGCACTGGATATGATTGCAGAGGTATAGTTTTTGTTCTTATCATCTCTCTTTTAAAGCATTATTCCTTCACATAAGATCGAAATCATAAAATCTCAAGAAAAATATACAAAAGAACTCGGTCAATTTATTGTTGAAAAGGATGAAACCTTAGTCCAAGTAGATTGGATAACAATATTTCAAACACACAGGTTTCAAACAGGCAGCATGCAGTGGTTCAAACAGTGGAGCTTAATTCCTTTTAGGCTTATTCATCATGGTAATATAATCGAACAAATTCCCATCAAAGCATCCCCTTATTGCTTCTTTTGATAGATAACCTTGTGCATCCTTTGCAATTCGATACAATAGCAACCATTCGCCCTTTGAGATTATCCTGCAGGAAACAGTAGAAGGATCTCAGACAACAAGTTCAGCAGTTACTAAATCAAAAACACAGAATTGAAAGAAAAAGAGTCTTGGAAAATACCAGCCAAGGAAGTCTAATTGGTTTCGATTTGACTCGGTCATGTGCCACACTTCATCGTATGTTAACTTGTCGGGCACAGTTCGAGCATACTTGCTGAAGATGCTCTCAAAATTCATTGGCATGAACCTGAAAATCCCAAATATATCATAACAAGACTCAAAATATGTCTTTAATGATTCAAAGGTTATACGGTAATTACCTTCCTTCAGTGTCAAACGTTGCTGTATCACTGCCATGCTTGCATTTGTGAATTCTGTCAATATATATGGGTAAAAATTGTTCTGGTATCCATCCCTATCAAATGGTGAAATTGTTATATAATCCTTTTAAAAATGGTATTGATATTCATTTTCCATAATCGAACACAAGTAAACTTACCTCGAGTGTGGAATGACTCAATCCTAGATTGATGATGAATGCAGCAAAAAGGCTTTCAAAGCGACCCAGACCAAGATTCCTCAAACCTATGTAAGTTTCCCAGGGATAAATGATCCCATCTTTGTTTTGATCAAAAAAGGAAGCATGTTGCTGAAGAACACTCAATCTTTTACTGTCACGTCCTACTGTTCCATGTGGATGTTCAATGTCCACAGCTGCCACTGCCCTTCCCATATCTGATCCCATAAGTTGTAGATATGTTACTCAAACACCATATTGACTTATTGAGTTTTGAACTTATATCATAGATTGGAGATAGACACGTGGGATGATTTTAAGTCGTTAATTTTTTTATAATTAATTTTGTATCTTTTCATTTAAGATATTATAAAGTTTATATAAATTTCACATACTAATAATTATTTAAACCGATTTTATCATGTTTATATTATCTTAATGTTATTATTATATGTTTTTATTTATCTATTGTTTTTCATTCAGAGAATTATAAATTCACATATTTTTTTAAATTTTAATAATTTATTTATTTATAACTCTAATCACTTCGTGTGTGTATATACACCTTAACGAGTAATTTTTTTATATAATTTTTAGTTGTTATTTTTAAAAAAAAATTATACTAAAGTAAGAATTTAAATTATATTATTATTATTTTTAAATGTAGAGGAAAAACATCTAAAATCAATGTAAGTGTTGAACTTTTTATTAGTATAGATATTTGAAATATGTTATGTTTTTATTAGATATTGTTTTTTAATTAACATTGCATATTAATTTTAAGTGTTTAAATAAAAATATGTATTTTTAAATAGTTACTTGAATAAAAATATTTTAAATATATAAATAAAATAATATTTATTTTAGTTAAAAAATACTTTAAATATTTAAATAAATAACAATATTTTAAAATAATCTCGTTTTTTTATATCCAGTATGTAAGATACGGCTTTATAGGTAGTCCCCCAAAGAAGAAACAAAATACATATTTAGCCACTCACCTTTTTCCATAATTCTATTTTGATGATTTAATTATTTATTTTCAAAGTTATATCTAAAGTTATATTTTAAAATTAACGGTAGTATTGATGTGCCATTATAAGATAATTTTATATCATCACTAAAAAATAAAAGAAATTATCATATCAGTAGTTTTGCTTATTCTTTTAACATATGTGATCAAAACGGAATTAAATCATAAAATTAGATATTATTTAAAAAATAATTAAATATCATTTGGTTCTGTTTCTTACACATGTTCAGCGTCTGGACGAGCTAATCTTTGAATGTTTTCTAATTAGGAGGAATTCAATTTGAATTATCATTTATTGAAAAACTAACTCAAAAACTATTCAATAATCAAATGATCTAATGAGACGAGCAACTCAATTTTACCGTACTTTTCAAAACAAATATTTTTTTTTTTAAAGATTATATTCATAATGGTGTTGAAAAAAGAAGAAGAGATAAATACAGGAAAAAGAACAGGGTGATGGGGGCAGAAATGCAGAATGACCGTCCACGCCAAACCCAGTGGTCCCATAATCCATCGTTAAAACACATACATAAGAAACAATACATCTGTTTCACACATACAAAGACAACACCGATAAGAATCGCATCAAATATATATCAATATATATAAAAGAATGTTTCATACTAAATAGATACAAATAAATTTGTAAGACGGATACTATAAGGTGGCGTTTGGTTAGATGTAATCTTTTGGAATTGTGAGGAATTGATCTAATTCCACCACTTTCTCATGTTTGGTTTAAGTTTTCCAAGGGAATTGGAATCCCTCATGGTTTCAACTTTCCATCAAGTGAGGGAAAATAAATTCAATCCAAGAATTGATAAGATTCAATTCCCTTGTTGGAGGGAATTAAAATTTGATCATACTATTCTCATCAATCTTTTGGTAACTTATTCATATATTGAATAAAAATATTTTTTTTATTATTTCGGGTCGGGTCGGGTTTCTAATTCATATATTCGGGTCGGGTCAAGTGAAACTTTATTTTGGTCGGGTCGGTTTTTTAAGTGTGATATTCGGGTCAGGTCGAGTTGTGGTTTAGGGTGAAAAATACCCGACCCGAAAATATATATAATTTTACCTAATATATTTAGGAATAATTACAATAATACCCCTCTCTATATATATTTTTTCAATTAAGTCACTGTTTTTATTGAATAAAAATAATTTTTTATTATTTCGGGTCGGGTCAGATCGGATTTCTAATTCATATATTCGGGTCGGGTTTTTTAAGTGTGATATTCGGGTCGGGTTTTTTTAAGTGTGGTATTCGGGTCGGGTTCGGGTTTAGGGTGAAAAAAACCGGACCGACCCGAAAAAAAATATAATTTTACCTTATATATTTAGGAATAATTACAATAAATCTCCTCTATATATAATTTTTTTTCAATTAAGTCAATGTTTTTAATGAATAAAAATAATTTTATAATTATTTTGTATCGGGTCGGGTTTCTAATTTATATATTGAATAAAAATAGTTTTTGGTATATTTTTTGTAACTAATTAACATACTCCGATTGTAATGTATCGAAATATTGATATATCTTTTGGTAACTTATTAACATATTTTGATTGCGATGATTTTAACTTATGATGTTTATTAGCATGATTTTTATAATTTATTGAAATGAATAATCAATCAATAAAATGAAAATTTAATATTTTTTTTATTTTTTTATAATATATTACTACATGTAAGTTGTAAAACAAACTAAAATAAAACAAAAAAAATAAGAAGGGCAATTCTGTCATTTTACATTACTGAAATCAAATTCATCTGACCTGTCTGTGAACCAAACAGAATATGGAATTGGATTCCAATTCCTGACAGATTTTAATTCCTTCACAGATTCCAATTCCCTCAAACATTCTAGCGAACAACGCCACCTAAGTGAAATGGGTGATTCTATTATGCAGCAACTTAACTTAAAGTTAAAAAATGACGCAACCGAAAATATCATAAAAATTATAATATTTTAGATTAAGCGTAATCTAAAATATATTTTTTTGGTAATATTTTCAATTAAATCTAAAATATTATGAATAATATAATATTTTTTTGTTTCCAACTCAACCCGTTACCATTCTCATTAAACTATTGATAATATTTATTTTATTTTCTTTAATATTTATTTTACTTTTATTGTACGTAGGTATATGTACTTATATAAATAAACAAAAATAAAACACGTCTTAACATGATAATTCTATAATGAATGTCATGTATTGATATTCACTACTGATTTATAGATGAAATTTATAATTTATAATTATTATTAAATTATATTAATATTAACTTTTTAGATACTAATTTTTAAATTATTCTAAAGTTGTTACAAGATTGTATATATTATAAAGATTCTCAACCACTTGATAATGAAAGCTTAAATACCTTTGTAGTCTCTGATTCTTGAACCTGAGACTTTTAGATATAACAAATATATCCTTTTAACCACTAAGACAACTTAATTCGCACTATACTAAAATTTTAAAACTTTTATAGTGAACATTAAGCTTTAGATTTTTTATAAAATGAACACAATACAATTATGTCATTAAATAGGTGAGTAACATGTTAAATTAATAAAAAAAATTATTTGACTCTTTAATTATAGTATTATGTTATTATTAATTTTAATTAAAATAATTTTATTAAGTTCGTTAAATAGAAAAATAAATATAAATAAAATAAATATTACTTTTTATTTTTATATTATTGATATTAAGTTTGTATCATATAAATTAGATATGTTATTAAAAGTTAAATATTATTTCGATTATTTATTCGATATGTTATTAAAATTTAAATATTGTTTCGATTACTTATTTAAATTTAGATATATTTGATGAATTGAAAATTTCATATAATTATAATTTTTAAAAAAATATTTTATTAAAATATTAAAAAATAAATTGTTAGAATATATTTTTTAAAAATTTCAATTTCAAATTTTATTTTTATATAATTATTTCTTAAAAATATTATAAAAGATATATATTAAGATAACATTTTAATTATAATTAAGGAATCAAATAAGATATTTTCTTATTAGTTTAACATGTTCGATATCCATCTTTTAAAAACCCCAAAATTTTAATATCTAATTTATAATGATTAAAATCCAACGATAAATAAAATCATTTTAACAAAATTTAATAATCAATTATGAATTTTACCTATAAAAAATATTAATGATTCATATTAATGTATGTTGTTAGCACTACATTTCGATGTATGACAAAATAGAATCTAATAAAAACTTATAAAAGTTTTGTGAATATTAATACAGTATATAAAAAAGTTAAAAATATTCAACAATATTTTTAAATTTAGATATATTAATACATACATTAATACAGTATATTAAATTCATAAAATTTATATACTTATTATGCTTCCTCCTCGCTATGTTCTTCAACAAATGCTTTTGCCCTCTCAGAAACCATTCGCTCGCAAATTCCCACTTATCTGGATCCACTTTCTTGAATCCCTAAACGCAATAACATAAAACGGTTAAAAATATTCGAACACCGCAATCGCAATTTAGTACTATGGTACGGACTTACATAAGTATTGAGCTGGCGAACGAAGCTAGAGAAATTGCCGTGCTTGAAGAAAACAGGCAAGATCCTCTGAGAGAAATTCACAGGGTCGACGACTACGAAACTATTATTAGCTTTACCCCAAGTGATCAAACCATCAGTCGTCGGATCATTGACCATCTGATAAGTTTTAGCGACGAATGGCGCGACCATGTCAGTATTACCGTTAGAATCCATTTCATCAAAAAGGACCAAAAAAATAACCCTTTTGATTATCTGCCACACTTCTCTTTGGAGAATAAAAGGTATCTTTCTTTAGAGAAGAAGGCGCAGAGACAGAGAGAGAATAAGTGAAGCGCAAAAGAGCTGAGCTGGTCTCTTTTTTTATATGGTTAGAAGCTTAATATAAAAAGGATGGCATTGACAGATTTACGGTGACGAAAAAGTGTGGGTGTCGTGGCTAAAAATCACGACGCGTTTGATATTTCCTTTGGATCACGAGATGGGTGACCCACACTGCTCTGGTTCTATCATCTTTTTGGTTCTCATGCTTTAGATATTTTTCAGTGTATTTCACGCGCGCGCGTTTGGGAGGACGGGGTTTTCATTGGTTCTACGCTTTAATATTAGTGACGTGGTCCCCCGTGGGTATAAACCATTGTAGCTAGAAAGACAATTGAACTACACAAATTATTATTTTAGAAAAGTAAAGGGAATATCTGTATAAAAATTAATCAAAATATAATAAAATCAAGTAAATTCATCTCAAAATTAGTAAAATTAAATTTAAAATATTTAACATGTATTTTTATAAAAATTAATAAATATATCATTATCATTCATGTCAACTTTTTAAAATTAAATTTATTTATATTAATTACATTTTGGAGTATGATTAAATATGTTTATATTATGATATAATGTTATTTATAATTTAATTTAATAATGATTGAAATATATAATTATGTACTTATTATTATTTTAATTGAAAATTATTTGATAACAAGAAAGTTCGCAAATTAAATATAATACTAAATAATCAACAAATGGTAAATCCATGCTTTAATTTATAATTTAGTTAATAAATAGATTTTGGGGATCGCGTGTTTTTTTCTCATACCCTTATTTGTTTCTTTTACTAATTTATAACAATAATATGATAATATTTATTTATAATTTTTTAATTATTGATAACACTTTGATTATAATTTTATAATTATTAATAACGCATACATCTTACAAAAAATCTCAAAGAATAATAACAGTCTCTTTAACTATTGAGATGATTAAATGATTCAACTCTATATAATTGAAATGAGCATTTTCAAAAAAAAAGAAATTATTCCTTTATCTAATGAATTTGATAATATATATATATATATATATATATATATATATATATATATATATAATCCGACGGGTTTCAACTTGACCTCATTTCGGGATCAGATCGGGTGGGGTAAGATGTTTTTAAAGGTGAAGTTCGGGTCAGGTTAGATTCGGGTTTAAGGTGAAAAATATTAGACTCGATCCGACTCGAAAAAATATAATTTTATCTTATATATTTAGGAATAATTATAACAATACACCTCTATATATATTTTTTCAATTAAATCACTGTTTTTATTGAAAAAATAATATTGTATTATTATTTCGGGTCGGATCAGATCGAGTTCGGATTTTATCTCAAAAAGTTGGGTGGGTTCGAGTCGGGTGGAGGGTATATATTTTTCGAGTCGAGTCGAGTTAAGTGAAGGATATAAAATTTTTAAATCAGGTCGGCTTGATCAAAACCCAAACCATGTTCATCCCTATATATAACAAACATATTTGCCCCCTCCACACATTCAAACTGACAAATATAAGAAGTTAATATAAATAAATTAGAATATCTTATTTCATGAATATCTGAATGGTTTCTCAAACAAACAAGCACGTGCTGAGAGAAGCACGTGGGATACAACTCCAAGAGGGAGTGGACAGTGGCTGAGGAATGGAATCCGGTTTGCTTTCGGCTCTTGACCGAAGCCAAGAGTGCTTCGCTCTCGTGCGTCGGCTTCAAACGGGGTGCAAGTGTTGATTCTCTATTGGTCCACGACTCAGGCCTACCATTTTTTAGTACTTTTGGATTGCTGCTTCTCCATTGGGGAGCTCATTTGAATACTCCCAAATCTCTGTTTGTCTCCATCCTTTTAATATATATACTTAATCTTAATATATGCTCTTCTTTGTATTTGTCGTTTTGTTTACTTTTATTTATTTACGTTTTAATATTTATATTCTCTTTTTATTTTTCTATCTAAATTTTATCCTTCTTATATGAGATAACAACCCATCTTTTTATTGTACTAAACTCAATGATTTGACTTCAAAAGCTAATGAGAATAGATAATAATATTTAATGACTTTTAAAATTATTTGAAAGCTTAATGATTATTTTATAATTTTTAAAAAATCAGTGACTAAAAGATTATTTAAATATAATTTGGTGACCATTTGTGTAGTGTATCCTAGTTTTTCTTCCCCAAAAAAAAAAATCAGCAATAACCGTCTTTTGATCAATTCAAAATTTTACACTTGAACTAATGTTATACAATCAAATTTCATTTTCATTTTTATATTTATTTTAGGTATGTGGACCTTTTCCTTCTAAAGAGAAAATATAAATCTTAATGAATGTCAACATTTAAAGATTTTTTTTTCTTCTAAACATTCATTTTTATAGTAAATCCAAAACAGTACTTTTATTTTTACTTTTAATTGTATTAATTGTGTTGTGAATTTATTTATTTATATTAATTTCACTCTTTGATCGACGTTGATCATTATTCATTATAATGTTCATATAATAGTTAACAATACTATTATGATAGCTCACGATACAAACATAACAATCCATGTGTCAATAATAACGTGGCTATCAACATTAATCATATGATGAAATTTATATAATTAAATTAGTTTAAGAGAAAAATGATACTATTAAAAATAATAACACAAGTATTAATCTGAATTTACAACATGATCAAAATAACCAATTTTATGCTAATTCATTAAAAAAGAAGAAGAAGAAACAGCCGACTTAGAAATGTAATAGTAAAATAAAAAATAAATGCAGTCTACAGTGTCACAATCAGACACTCCTTGCATGGCGGGTAATTGTGTTTTACTTAGATTTGTGGGCCACATATGAATATATGCCTTCCTACATTGAATTTGTGTTCAAGGTTAAGATCAAACCTACGGATGCATAATGACAAAGTCTTAATAAATCCTTCCTGCGTCAATATACACTCCTTTTTCAATCTATTCATGTTAATTTAAAGTTATAATTATTTGGACATGTATTCTTTGTGATTGTACCTATAAATATATCTCTAAATGTACTTGTGAACTTCTAAAAGTGGATACCTATAAATAAATAGAAGGAAGGCATAATCTCATCTGGAATTATTTAAAATGTGTTGGATAATTATTGTAATTATTAGATGTAACCAAGTCGAATGTAATTAAAATATCTCAATTATTAAGGGTTAATATCGTTGGATGAGTGAAAATAAATATATGAGATTGACCTATTGTTTTTTTCAATGAATATCTTATTATTTACTACTGATAATCTCAATCATTCATTTTCACTCATCCAACGATCCTAAATCTGTGTAAAACTAAAAAAGTTTTATATTTTGTAATAGGATTATATCCTATATTTTAAAATTATATACAAATCTATGTAAAATTAAAATAAGAGAAAATAACCTCAGTTACCAAAAATCCAATATAATATACGATTTTAACCAATTTTTTCCGGATTTGCCAAAATGACCAACAAAATCGCAATGCGATCGCTAATTCGCAACGCTAATTCGCAACGCGATCTCCATTATCGCAAATCAGTTTCCAGATTCGCAACGTGATTATGTCAATCACAATGCGATTTTCCAATTTCGCGTTGCGATTCGATTTTCCCAATTCGCAATGCGAATAAGTAAATCGCAATGCGAATAAGTAAATCGCAATGCGAATTTGGAAAATTGCAATGCGATACTGACTATCGCAACGCGATAATACAAAATCGCAACGCGATACTGACTTTCGCAACGCGATTCTGACTTTCGCAACGAGATTCTGACTATCGTAACGAGATAATACATAATCGCAATGCGATTTTCAAAGTTCGCAATAGGTTTTAATTTCGCAACACAAATTTTTTGGGTATATATCTACGCAGCAGCAACAACTCATAACCTAAATCCCTATATCGCAACTCATTCCATCTCCATCTATCACTCTCTCCGGCGACATCCGTTCCTATATCCGTTCCTACATCTTTCCCCATCCGGCAACAGGTCTTAGTTTCGCAGCTCGTTTGTTTAGTAAATTAATTTACAACCATGAAATCATCTAATGTTGATCATGTTTGGATAGATTTATGTTTTGGAGGGTCATGAGAGAATGTTCATAGTGTTTTACAATATATGCCTTTACCCATGAATCTTTAACTAAAACTGTCATTAAAAAAGTTAACTTATGAAACTCTAATGTTACGTGTTTCAAAGAAATTGAATTTAGAGCCCCTAAGTGGATTTAGGCTATCTTATCAGAGAAATGGTAAAATTTATTTGTTAACCGACAATGAAGATGTTGAACGATTCATTGCTTACATTAGTGTTTCAAGTGATGATGTTACATTGTATGTTGTTGAACCTAGAAGTAGTATTATTGGGTCAGTAGCGGGTAGTAATCAACTAAGTTTTTCTCAAAACCCACAACCTTTCTCTAATCCAAATCCCAATCAACTTTCAGCACCAAATTCTGGTTTTCGTATTGACCAATTAGACGATGATGAGCCAACAGAAAAAATTGTGAGTACTAGTCAGTATTCGAAATTTGATCTTGGTCAATACCCGGACTTTGATATTGGTCAATACTCGGATTTTGATGATGTTTCAGAAGAAGAAACATACACTGCGTGTAATGATTTTGATATTGGTCAATACCCAAATTTTGATGATGAAACAGTCGTTGCCGAGGAAGATGTTGTTGATGATAATGAGGAGGAAGTTACGACTGTGAATGAACATGTTGAACATCCATTCTGTAATTAATATAATCCTGAAGAAGAAAAAGAAGAAGAAAAAGTCCCCGAAGAAAAGAAAATGCCACGGGAGTATAACTGGAATATGTCAGAATTACTTCAGATACCGAAAGAAGAGTTGGTAAAGAAAGCAGTTGATTGTTACACAAAAGTTATTCGTATCAAGAATATGATTGTTTTTGTAACACCCCCAACCCGTATCCGACCCGGATCCGAGTCCGAAGTGCCACATGGACTTTTCAAAAACCTTTACTTGTATAAAATACTGAGTAATTTAAAATTTATTATTACATATAACTTATT